ATGCGAGACTCATTCTTCTCATATTTGTCATCATTCTTCTTATATTTGTCATACATCAGTTACTGTTACCATTTTTTAAGTCGGTACTGTGCAGTATGTATGGAAGTGTAGGTCACACTGAGTGCACAGGTGTGTGTGTCTGTTTCACAGACTGTACATTGTGTAACAGTCCTGCAAAAAATCCTCCTCCATGAAGGTGATAAAGTTCAGTTCTGTTGAAATGGTGTGAGAGTCACCTGTATGATGACTTTGGAAGATGTAGTCTGTTATGCTGTTGAATTGTGCTGCGTTATGCTGTGTTTCTTAACACATTTGTGCTGCCCTATAAGGCAGGAAATACAGTGATTAGTGATTTGATTAGTACTACACTACACTTACAGTTACACACACACACACACACACACACACACAAAAGGATTCTAACAAAAACAAAAGGCTAAATCTATAATGACCATGTTGCCAACAAGCTCACCTTGTTTGTTTGCGTGCCATGTCTGACAATAACATCATAACCACTCAGGATGCCATTTATCTTATCATCTGGTGGAGGTTTCCACTTGATCACCAGCCATGACTCATTCAGCTGTATAGTGACGTTTCGGGGATAAACTGATGGCACTGTGAATGTGACAAGGAATGGAAGCCAAATGGATTACAATATATTGCTATAACAAAATCATAAAGAATGGCAACCTATAAAACAAAAATGGAAAAGAGAAATTAAAACTGTCCCTCTATTGAAATCTTTGATTACAGTTTGGTATGTGGTCACTTCCTGGCACAGTTTAACAAACCTTTCAACTAAAATATCTCACTGCGAGGACATGAGGAAGGAAACTAACTCCACCCAATAAGAATGCTGTGTGGAGAGACCACTCCTATTTCCTATGTGACCCTTCAGAAAAACAACAGAGATTTAGTGGATAGGCCATTTTTGTGAAGGGGACTTACCATGGGCAGGTATTGTTTAATTTTTGTAAGGAGGCTTATATTGGTGACATTTTGGATGGGCAAACATTGGGTGAATTACATAGTGCTACATTGCTGAAACCTAAACAGGAATCTGCAATGAAGAGAAGGAGGGTCTTCATAAAAGTAAACACAAAAAGTAGCTTTTAAAGCCTTCTAGATATAAACCGCCAGATGAATTTGAATCATTTTCCCCTGCTGCATCAGCACCTGCCAACAAAATTCAAATGGCAAATTGTTCCATGCATCCTTAAGTACTCACATACCTCCCTCTGTGGTGTTGCTCTGAATCCACATGGTGACAGGAGAGGCTCCCACCTCATTGCTGCAGGAAACACTCACATTGTACCAAGTCATAGCCTGCAACCCAGGGACTTCACAATGGAAAGGCGGCACTGTGACGTTGACAAACCTGGTGGTCATCACCTCCCCTTTCCTCCGACTCATCTCTTTAACCTTAACAGAGCAGAGATCATGAGGATACATCTGAGGATGTTAAATGACAGCACTGTTTGTGCAGATGTGGGGCTTACCCTGATGTGGCATTTGGTAAGTGGAGAGAAGCCATCATGTCCAGGGGTCCAGCTCAACAGAAACTTATTGGACTGCCGCTCCATTACAGTAACATTATACACAGGACTGGGAAGCACTACAAAACACCGTAAAAACCCTTAGCATGGAGAGCTAAAGTCACCTTGCAGAGCATAAAATTCTCTTGGAATATTTAGCAGCCCCAGAGGGACTCAGTTTTACCTTTGATGTTGATATTTGCTTCTCTGGAGGTGGTGACACCCTTCTTGTTGTGAGCTTCACAGCTGAACTGAGTGTACTTGTCCACACCTACAATTGACACATTGGAGAGGACAATGTATCACTTTAATACTGCATGATGTCAGACCACCTAATCCGCAAGGTCATGACAGTGCTAAATATTTTGAGAAATCAGCCTCAACTATGGGAAAAACGTACAAGTCAACAAGACATGTTCTCATCATGTTCTACACTGTGTGCAAACTAAGTGATTTCTATCTGTGATAAAGGCGAATCTGGGGTAGAAGTGTCCTGTCAGCCTCAGTGGAGAAGTGAGACTGAACATTATGCAAAACAGAGTTAGGGATAGCCAACTTCTTATTATACCTCAAAGGGTCACACAGCAGTGGCTCATGCAATAAGCTCAAATCGAACCTCTCCAGTGTTTTGCTGGGTCTCTTTTCCTGGACACATAATTCTCATGTTTCAGCAACACTGATCTGCGTGGTTAGAAAAGGATGGGCACTGCTGCTAAATAATGTCCCTTTTGTGCTCTGTTTGTGTCTCTATCTCGGAAACATTTCCACAAAGCTAATCACAGAACAGTCTGTGAGAGATGACTGGAACCGACTTCAGATACTTTGTTTATCTTCTGCAGAGTATCATGACCTTGCTAGTTTGCCCTCCTCTGCTCGGGTGCATCAGAGTAAACAAAGGGTGTTTCACTTTTTACTCAAACACTGACAACATTATGTTTATCTGCACAAAGTCTTACTTAAAACAGACTGAAGTGAATCATTCACACAAGTTACATTCATTTTAAAAAAGCATTGGACTGTACAGATCAAAACTCCACAATAAAGCTGACATTGAAGTTCTGACAGAAATGTGCAAATACATCAGCACACTTCTAGACAAGCTGTGCAAATGTAATCGCCACATGCAGGTTTTCAAACTGCAGGACAAACAGGGGGCTGGGACCAGAGCAGATTTAACTGTCGTCCCAAATTAAACTGGTCATTCATGTTTTTACAGAGAGCATAGGGACAGCAAGTTTATAAACCTCACAACACCACTGGCAGCTTTATTTTTTTTTTACTATTTATTATTTTTTTTATTTTTAGAAAACAAGGTGTATTTTCAAAATACTGTGCTAATACACGTTATGACAAAAGAGAAGTGGATTATGCTGCAGAAGTTAATTAAAAATTGATCCTCTGCCCAACACCTACTGTAAGGAAGGGTGTTGGGTGGAGGATCATTAAAAACACATTATTTCTAAGTTATATATTTTTTGGGAAAGGGGAACTGAATAAATATCAAACTGTGTCATTTCTGCTTTCACTTCAAAGCAAATCAAAACAAAAAGCAGCAACAATGTAGAAAATATAGATGGGTTGGCTTCTCAAATGGAAACTTCAGAAATGATGTAGGAATCCAGTAAATGCAGAGCAGCGAGTGGGCTGGAACAACCACATGTGTAATGTGGAACTCCTGAAGTGTGGACCCAGCAGCCTGTAATTATCAGATCTGGGAGTGCTCTAGCTTACTGAACAGTTATTTTTCCATTTTTATATTTGGGCAGCAAATATAGCAAACTGTACTGTCAGGTTACAGCTAAGCCTATGACTTTTCAGTCCTTATTGCTGTGTGCCACATTTGCTCCTCCTCTTGTTTTGCATTTTCAAAGCTGAAGTACCAAACTTCTATCAACCATAAACTGAATCTTATGCTGCAATCATGAGAATGATTCAATAACTAAATGCCGATAAAAAGACTTTCCACACCCATAATAAACTCCATAAACCTCTGCATTTTTTCAGAAACATATAATGCACTGATTTCAAGCAATAAGAACAGGAAATGCACATTCAAAAAAACCAATCATTTACCACTCCAAAGAACAAAGCACCTTAACAATAGCATGGAGTCCAGCTTTTAGTGAAAAGGTGCACTATAGTGTGCATGCAGCAGAGTTTGCAGCAGACACTGTTTTTGTCATGCCAATATTTGGTCCTGCACAGAGCTCTTGTAGCCTGCAGCCTGCCAGCCTCTGTGTCCAGCCCCTCCCTGCTGAGTAGTGGTCCGTCCTCTGAATGAGGCCTTTGTCCCCAAAGCCAACCCCTGAACAAAGAGCACCCCCATCCCTTTACTGCCCAGGCCCTTGCACATGCTGGACCAAAGCACAGCTCTGAACCTTTAACCCCCTCAGCTTTGGGCTGTATCAACACTCACAGACTACAACAGCAGTGGTTAGAGCATTCAGAGCAGAAGGGTTATGCTTCTAATGACAAATGTTTGCTTTCAGCAGCATAAGAGGGCAGTTGACACCATAAAGGAAGAGCCTGCTCAAAAAAGACATTTTGGCACCAATTCCTCCAAGTTAGTGCTGTATAATTTATGCATATATTAAAATATCTATATTCAAGCTCAAACCTGTATTGGTCTTTTACAAGTAGCCTTGACTTTTATAAATAATCAAGTTTACTTTGAGGTTAACTTTAATGTAGAGCTGATTAAATAGAAGTCTTTTTTTAAGCTAAAATGCCTCAAATTCATTGGTTCCCGCTTCCCAAATGTAACACTTTGTTGGTTTTCATATTCTTGTAATAAACTACAGCAAGTCACTTTGGGTTTTCATCTGCAAAGATATTTGAAAGCAATTAATTTCAATGTACTGCCACCAGTAACTTTCTGGAGTCTTCCTGGTCCCATGTTACCTTTGGACAGAGGCAAGCTGTGTCCCCAGTTTCCAGTCTTTATGCTATAGACTAAACTGAACAGCAGTCTCTGTCTCCTGTATTTATTGTGCAGATATAAGATCAATATTCTCAGTCTCTGCTAGAAAGTGAATAGGCATAGTTCTCAAAATGTATGCAGATGGATCAAACTTTTAGAAGTGCACTTTTAAATTAAACAAAGAAATATAATGAGTCATATTCTGATCATTCACTCAACACTTCTCTTCCAGACAAGAGGGAAGGGGGATAGCTGTTACCACATAAATGACTTTAAAACCTCAGTGAGTGATAGAGAGAATGAAGAACAGAAGTGTGTGGTCAGTGTCTCACCTGACACAGAGTAGCTGCTGGGAGAATTATGCCAGTCACTAATATGTAATCCATCACGGAGCCAGCGGATCTGAACAGGGTCTGGAGGTCCTGCTGCCTCACATGACAGTGTGAAACGTGTGTCTCTTGTTACATTCCTGTCCTCTGGCTGATGGATAAATGTTGGTAGTCCTACAGACCAATTAGATACATGTCAAAGTGTCACAAAATATATGGATGTTCCAGAATGTACTGGCAGCTGGCATCATGAAACTCACCTTCCACCTTGAGGGTGATTGGCTGAGACTCTACTGTGGTGTTGATACTCAGTCTGCAGCGATACTCCCCTGCATCCACTCTCTGCACTTGGGTAATGCTGTAATACAGTACATGAAGACATTCCTTGTATTCAGCCGGTTATATACTTTTGTTTCGCATTCCACCTGCATGTGTTACATACCTGACAGTGGAGAGCAGAGTTGTGACCCCGTCGGTGGTGGTTTGGAGCTCATTGATCACTGCCTGCATGTTTGAAGCCAGGTCATGGCCGTTCTTCACCCAGATGATGGTGGGCTCTAGACTGGCATCGGGGATGTCAATGGAGCAGTTGAACCTAGCCGTATGGCCCTCTGAGAGCTGGATGGAGCCTATGGTGGGCTTGAACTGTAGCTGTCTGAGCTGATCTGGGCTCAGATACACTCTCGAAGCATGGCTACTGGAATGCTGGGCTGTTTACAGATGACAAGTTAGTATGTTATATTGACTTATACAATCAGCAGCATACTGAATGAAAATAGAGTTTCTGCTTTAAGTATGTGTTTAAACCTGTTAGGCTTTAAAGCATAATGTTCTACTGGGAGTGGCTTATAAAAGTAAGAATCAAAGATCTGACTTTCAGAGAGTCAGAACTTGGCATGTTCACATCTAAAATGTCCACAAAACCACCATAAAGTAGCATTCAAAAATCCTACAGTAAGTGCAGACAGTTTTGGGGCCGCAGTGAATGATTTTTTTTTTCCCATTATCTATTTTGATTAAATATCATAGTAGTATAAAAAGTTAGGAAAGCACAAACATTCCCATCACTATTACTCAGGGCCACCAGAGGGCTGTGGGAGAGATCTTCCAGGCTGTAGGCTACTGCACTGCTGTGTGGTTTGGCAACTTGTCTGTGAATCCTAAAACCAAGTTAGAACCCAGTTTCCAAAAAGATGTGAAGCTGAGTAAATTGTAAAAACTGAATGAAATGTTTTGAAAACCCCTTTTATTACTAGTAACAGTACAAAAACATCCCAGAGAGTTTGAGTCTTTCATAAGTAAGGATGAGGCAAGGTTCACCACTCTGTGTGGAAAATAGCTAACTAATTTGAGAATAACATTTCTCAATAAAAGATCATGCAGAATTTGGAGTTTTCATCATATATGGCAGATAATATTATAAGATTCAGAGAATCTGCAGTAATCTGCAGGAATCTCTTTAAACAGGTATAAGTAAGGAACAAGGTCGGAAACCAGTACTGAATGGCCGTGACATGATTCTGTAGTAGAAATCACTGCACAGGCACAGGAACGCTTCTGAAAACTACTGTCAGTGAACACGGTTCACCACTGCATCCACAAATGCAAGTTACAACTCTACCTTGCAAAGAAAAATCATATCTAAACTCGAACCAGATATGCCGCCACCTTCTCTGGGCTCAAGTTCATTTAAGATGAACTGAGGCAAAGTGGAAAACTGTCCTGCGGTCTGATGAGTCAAAATGTGAAATTCTTTTTGGAAAGCATAGACGCCACGTCCTCCAAGCTAAAGAGAAACGGGATCGTCCAGCTTGTAATCAGCACACAGTCCAAAGCCAACATCCATGATGACATGGGGGTGCATTAAGGCACACGGCATCAGTAACTTCTGTGAATCTGTGAAGGCGCCTTTAATGTTGAATGATATATACAGGTTTTGGAGCAAAATATGATGCTAGCAAGACAGCGTCAAACCACATTCTGCCTGTTATTACAACAGCATGGCTCTGTAACAAGAGTCTGGATGCTAAACTGACCTGCATACAGTCCAGACCTGACACCCACTAAAAACATTTGGTGCATTATAAAATACAACAAAGGAGGTCCTGAACTGTTGAGACGAAACATTTCACTTTGAAAACTAAAGCTGGTGGTTTCCTCACTTCCCATTGTTGTTAGAGGAAGAAGCGATGCAACACAGGGATAAACTTGCCCATGTCCCAGATTTTCCAACTCTTTGGGGTTGTATATAATCAACTCAGAATTTGTTCAAAGATCAGTGGCCAACCTTTAGGAACCTCTTGTCCAGCAGCTTCAGTCCAAGAATGCTCAGAACTGCTAACAGTATCTCATCTGACTCCTATTAAATACCAACACCTGCCCTTTAACAGGTGATTTGCAGTCCCACAATTTACTGGAGGTGGAACAAGCTGAAGAACTCAGCAGTCAGTAGTCTTGCTTAATCAAAATCAGTGATAAATGAGATGTGAACTCAGAGAATATGTTATGTTAATACTGTATATCTAGTGCATTCATACTGTAGCCTATGATGCTGTGCTTTGTATGATTGCGTGATGTGTTGTGTATAACTGGAGAAAGCGTTAGAATATGTGTTGCAATTGTACACTATGTGTCTCCCTCTTGGCTGGATCTGCCTTCAAGGTACAAAATGACTTTCAGTGTTAAGCTATTGTTTCATTAAATAGAAACAAATGTAGTGCTATGAAACAAATTCAGGGCTTTACATATTTTTCAGGTGTCTTAGATAAGTTCTATAAATTGATGAGGACGCTTTAAGCTTAGGATCTATTGCAGATGCAGTCTCCTGTCATACAGAGAAGAAAACTGGTCCCTGCTCCTGACTACAAAGTTAAGACAGTTAAGCCTACGATCCCACTTTGATTCAAAAAAATTAAATTAAATTAAATTAAATTAAATTCAACTAAACAAAATGAAATAAAATAAGAACTCACCGCTGACCGGACTCCTTACAAGGATGGCTATGGTCGTTGTGAAAACTCCAATCCAGGCTGGAACGGACTTTTTTGCCATGGCTCGTCTGAGCTCTTCTCACTGCTGCTGAGTCCCGCAGCAGTTTGAAATCGTCCACGTTCTTATTCTAAGCGGATTGTGCAGGACCGAACAACTCCGTGAAAAACCAACATTACCTCCAAGAATGGCTGCCTGTAACACAACTTGTATACAGAGCTCCTGACCAAGGATCACATTTAGCTGGACAAAAAAAAAGTTTACTTTTCCCGACGTCACAGTAGGACTGCCATAAAGGAGAGAGTGGGTGTGGAAATACTGCGGGTGGCCATCAATCATGGCCGCCACAATAATTACAATGCGGAATTTATCTGAGGTTTACGGTAACAGTGCACCTCTATACATTAGTCAAATCTAATAAACACAATGTCACACTATTACTCATGGTTATGAACTATTACAAAAACTGGTGAAACACGTAGTCTATCTACACTCAATCATTGTTAAATTTACTGCAAACAGCAAGAAGTAATTACATCATTCATTTCAAAATGAAAGATGCAATATTGTTTAATTTCTAATATTTGATTTTAGTGTTGTGCCCATATACTCCTATTTGCCCAAATTAAACTTCTTATAGGTTATTAGAGCAATTTAATAATTAAGTAAGCGTAATTCATTTGAAGTAACATAAACACTTTTTTCTTTTTTTTTTTTAGAAATTTTGTCATAGTTAAATAATATAGGCTACTTGGATTCAAGAACAGGTTAGAATTGATTAAAATTAATTGATCGTGGTCTATGGGAGCGCTGACAGCCTGTTGAAGTCGCATCAGACAATTTACATACTATGCCGGCCTATGCGGTCTTATTCCTTCCTTTCGACCTTTCGAGCTGAGGCCCTCCACCAGAGGCCTGGAAGCTTGAGGGTCCTGCCCAGTATCTTAGCTGTTCCTAGCACTGCACTCTTCTGGACAAAGATCTCAGATGTTGTTCCTGGGATCTGTTGGAGCCACTCTCCCAGTTTGGGGGTCACAGCCCCCAATGTTCCCATTACCATGGGGACCACTTGTGCCTTCACCTTCCACATCTTTTCTAGCTCTTCTTTCACCCCTTGGTTTCTCGAGCGTCTCGTGTTCCTTCTTCCTGATGTTGCTATCGCTTGGGATTGCTACATCTATCACTACGGCCTTCTTCTTCTGTTTGCCCACCACTACTATGTCCAGTTGGTTGGCCATTACCAGTTTGTCAGTTTGTATCTGGAAGTCCCACAGGATCTTAGCTTGGTCATTCTCAACCACCTTTGGAGGTGTATCCCATTTTGTCTTTGGGACTTCCAGCCTATACTCAGCATAGATGTTTCTGTACACTATGCCAGCCACTTGGTTATGGCGTTCCATGTATGCCCTGCCTGCTAGCATCTTGCACCCCGCTGTGATGTGCTGGATTGTCTCTGCACAAGACCCATCATAGCCTACTGAAAATTAGTAGCTGTTTCTTGTGTTGTTTATATATGTCCACTAGGTGGCGACAAATGAACAGAAAACCAACAGTAGGGAGCATAAATCTGTGGACAGAGACTAGTCAGATAAGTGATCGTAAAAATATCAACATTACACAGTATTTAAAAAACTAAAGATATACTAAAACAAACGAAAATACACTGTTCCCATGCCACTAATATACATTATACGTATTTGCCGGTGCTAGCTTTAACAAATGGTTTGTATGCAGTTACTTTCGTAATAGCGTTATTTCCGATATCACTGAAAGGCAGCATTCACTGGAAGGCAGCATTTCTGAGGAAGTGGCCTTAATAATGTTGCAATCAAACGCTGATCCGAGATCTGTTTTGGTTATACCCCCAAGTATTAAGACCAACAGTTGGTCCGAACAAACCGATTCTGAGTCAGTCCTGAACAGAAATATCGTTCAGGAGGTTAGTGTGACTATCACAAATTGAGGACGTAGAAGAATAAAAAATATCACAAGAAGAACGGATTACACTGTTTTTTAACCATTTTGCCAACTAGCCTCTTGCGATGGATAAACTTCGCCGAGTGCTCAGCGGCCGAGAGGAAAATGAGGAGTTGGGTCTTACTGCACAGGTAGCTAACGTTACTGTGTACCATTGCTGTACATCTTGCTAATGCTAACGTTGTGTTAATGGTAAACATTGAATGAAAATAGCACCGAACAAGTTTCGCTGGCTGCTTGAGACTCAGTGTTACTGTTCAGACACATGACATTAATGTTGGTGTGGTTTTAGTTTCTTAGGGTTAGCTAGCTAGTAGTTAGCTAACTCTTAGTAAACATGTAGGTGTTAGCTAGGTTTATGCTAGCTCTGTAGTTTTCCCTAGACGTTAGACAATTTGATAACACAACACTTGCTCGCTCTTTTTAACCCAGTTTAAAGCTGGCTGTCATATTCTTCTGTTTGCACTTAAAAATTTTAATTTATTTGTTCATTTATACTTTCACATGCGTTCACGATAAGGAGGAAATGAGGTAAGGTGGTGACTTGGACTTTCTGTTGTATTTCGCGATGGTTAAACTCAAAGCAAAATAAAAACTTCGCTTTGACACAGTAGTGTGCATTGAGTGAAGTTATGCATTTGATTGTCATATGCGTTTCATTTTAATTGTTTATTGCTCTAACTTTTTTGTGTGTTGAGTAATGTTCTCTCTGTGTGTTTGTGTGTATTCGTTCAAACAAAACTGTAGCTTGGTGCTATCTGCTTAGTTCTAGCCATCATGGTTAGCCCAGATCATCAGTAGGAAGCATCTGGGTGTTCTTGACATGTGACATCCTCCTATTGTTGCTCACCAGGTCCTGGATGCTACCACTCTCAGCTACAGCACCAGGGTGAAATGGTTCGTCATATGCTTTGCTGGAGGCATCCTGTGTTCAATACTCGTGAGAGTCTCTGTCTTTAAAATTTCAAAGACAGCTTTTTTTGTCTCATTTTACACTATACTGATGTTTGGAATGCTTAGAATTCAGAGTGCATATAACACTAATATCTTTTTTGCTTTGGCCTTTTTGTTATCAGCATGAACAAGACTAACTCCTGTTTTCATGCACTTGCAGATTAAAGTTACTGGCACAAGTCACTTGTTCTTAATCTAAACATAGAGGTTGCTTAGTATCACTAGAAGTTTAAGTTTGTAGTCTTGTAGTTAAGATAACAGGATATCTTTTCACAGGCAGAACTTGCTGATAACACTTTAAAACCACAACATAGTTGCAATTCATACTGTTAAAGCCCCAACACAGCCTCTATGTGGAGGGTTTGTTGTGAAATTCACAGTGAGAAGATCTCTGCACATCTGTCATGTAAAAGTTTATATTAAAGTTTCTTAATGTTTTTTCCATTCACATATTTTCAAACACTTTTACCTGGATGCCTTCTCAACTAGCCATTTTATATCACTGTGCTCACGCCAGTGATCCTACACAGATACACACACACACACACACACACACACACACACACACACACACACACACATATCACCACGCTTGGGATAATGTAAAACTAAATGATTTCTTTGGTTAAGATGTGATAAACATAAGCTATTTGCTCCAAAACATCTAGAATATACAACAACAAAGCTTTGCAGTAGTCTGGCACTAGGGGGAGCCCATTATGTTTCACTAAAATCATAGGACACCCCACATAATCCCTTATTTAATTGATTATTTAAAATATGTAAGACTTCAACCTTAAGTCCAGGATTAATTTAGCTTCTTGGTAAAGTTATTTTATTTAGTGTTTTACCACTCAGTTAAAGTGTGATGGCATTATTCTGTGTCGCTGACAGAGGCTGTTTTGCTGCTTTACCAGGGTACAGCACTGCTCTTTCTTCCAAACGGACTCAAGCTTTTTGCTGTCTTCTACACATTAGGGAATCTCTCAGCTCTTGGCAGGTAAGACTCTCCAGCTCAGTTTTTAAGTTTCAGTTATTGTAACCTAATGTCTTGATATCAAACTTTTCTCACCAATATGGCACACTGCAAGGAATAGAACATATTATTAGCAGTAGGCTCATACTCTGAAATCATATCACCTTGATGACTGCTACACCCTGTTACTGTCATCCTTGACAGTGATACATATTGCCCAAGATTTTTTCTACACTGTTTTGTAACAAAGACAAACTAAGTAGTCTGTAATTTACTGTCATTCCCCTCTGTGCACTCATCACCTGTTGCTCACAGTTTGGAGCACAGTTCCTGAGGAACCAAAACAGTGGTGATTACCAGTTTATCTGAGGGCTATAGGATTGTAGCTAAAATGATCATCTCCAGGATTTAATCAGGTTCATTTTAGTAATAATTAGCCATGTTACAGGAATTTAAATGACCAGCAAACTGCCTTTGTGGTCACATTTCACTTAGTAAACCTAAAGATAAAATCTTCTTCATATAAAGGTCACATATTAAAATGTTAACCTAACCAAATAAAGCATAAAACTGGATTTGCTGATAATGCCAAAGCAACCTGCAGCCATATAAAGACAATTTAAGCCTTATTAGAAAATACACTTACCCTATGCAGCAGCAACTTTGTGTGGGAAGCAGAGACTGTTAATCACCACATGCATAGCAGAATTGGTTTGGCAGGCTTACCTGTGAATAGAGATTACACAATTTGGATTCAGCAGAGGAGGAATTCTAATTGCAAAAGGTTAATATTGCATTTAATTAAGTTTATTTAGTCGTGATCCTGATTATTATGCGACCGCTTCTGCAGCCCTTCACCTTTAATAAATGCATTAAAGTCATCAGTTAATCATTAAAGATAGGGAGACAATGGTGAATGTGAACAGACTGTGTTTCCTAATAGTTTGTTTTGCTATCTAAGGAGAGATGCATATTGATTAAAGGATGTCTCCTCTTTATAGAAGCATACAAGGAGAATTCGTTCTCAGTGACAGGGAAGGATCTTCCTTTGTACATTTGTAAATTACACAAAAACAAAACTTGAATCTGAGCACAGTCTAAAATCAGCTGAAACATTTCCTTTTTGTTGTGTGACATTAACCCGATCTCTCTGTAATAACACTGTTACAGTCACATATAGATGCTGTCTTATCCTTATTGTTTATCCATAGTTGTGACTGTATTATTAAAATGGTTATATAAGATTATCAGTTTTATATTCACTAGATATCAGTGGTCTACTGGATTTATACGTTTTTTTTTTGTTTTTTTAATCCAATTAATCCAAGGCTAAATCTAATAATTATACATTTAACAATGAACCATCGATGAGTGGTTTGTTTTCTGCCGGAGCAGTCTCTGTCTTCAGTTATCATATGTCCAGAAGGTTTAGGTGCATCAAACAATGGGTTGCCTTCTGCTTTCACAGCACAGGTTACCAAACCAGAGCAAGCGATGGTCACATTTTAAGGAGCTGTAATGGCCAAGAAGACATCACTGAGACCATTGGTCTTATTATTTTACCCACAGTAATGGAAGGTTATTTCAAAAATTGGAGTGTTGTAAGGGCGAAACAACATTAAGACGTCTCTAATCAATATTATTATTATTATTATTATTATTATTGTTATTATACAGATTCTGTAGACATAGGTGATACAGCATTTGTCTCCTATCAGTAACGGTATTAACATTGCTGTTGTCCAGCATCAGGTGTTGCGTAGTCTTTTGTCAAATATAGCATCTTTGTCAGCCTTTCACTAAACGTGCTTAAATTATGTTTTCAATTTTCTAATAACAGAGCTTTGTTAATATGAGTCCAGACAGTCAACCAAATATAGACGACTGATTTCCTTCTCTCTTATCAGCAATAGCTGTGTGTGTGTGTGTGTGTGTGTGTGTGTGTGCGCGCGCACGCGTGTGTGGACATCATTAGTGTCACTGTTACGTTGAGCAGTTGGGAAGAAAGCATCGATCCTTCTCGGCAGACCAGCAGGGAAAGCCTGCGTCAACACCCACTTCTCTCATGTCTCATCTAGCAGATGTGACGCTCCACAGACTCCCTGTACCCACGCAGCTCTGCTGAGCCCAGAGCTGTGTGCCTCGTCGGGGGGAAAGCCTTTGTCTTATAATTTCCTGACGTCACATATGAATCATGTAGGAGGTGTTAAATGTGTCACTTTAGTGTTGGGCATGAAATATTTACCTCCTAATAGTTGCAGTATGTAGTTTATGTACAGCATGTGTGTGTGAAGACTGTTGTGAAATCCAACCAGATTATGAATCTTATATACAGAGTATGTTATTTGATGTGAGTGTATCTTTTTCCTCATTGTCCATTTCATTCTTGTTCCTCACCAGCACCTGCTTCCTAATGGGACCACTAAATCAGCTGAAGCGCATGTTTGAACCAACCAGACTTGTAGCCACCATTGTTATGCTGGTAACTACATTACATTGTGTTTTACTGTGATTTTGAAATCTTATTAGGTCCAAGTGCTTCACTAGATATTTATACATGTATCAGGTTACAATGGAAAGTGTCTGAGAGCTTTACATTCTTACTTATTTTCTTAACATTTTATTTACCATGTATCTGTTTCTGTTTCTGCCTTTGTATTAGCAGGCCAGGTTTAATTAAAGCTCTGATATTCTTCAGGTTGTGATCTTAAAGGATTAAGAAGCTGAAGTGACTGCTCTTGATGTTGTAGTTTAACTCAACATTACTGTTTCTTTAAACCGATTTATTGACTTACTTTGGGTTAGAATTGCACAGTCCCTGTAAAACACTGAAAGAACTCAGTTGTCAGATAACAGTTGTCATTTTGCAAGCACACAGGAAGATACTATAACCGTTCCTTTCTTCTTCTGCCAGCTCTGCTTCGTCTTAACACTTTGTGCAGTGTTTTGGGTGAGTAGATGATGCGTAGTTTGAAAACCTGTTACTCTTTTAGAGCAGTGTTTTCAACAATTAAAAACAATGCCTTTGTTTTATTTTAGTGGAATAAAAAGGGACTGGCTATCATCTTCTGTATTCTGCAGTTTTTGGCAATGACATGGTAAGTGTGACCTGACAGCCATCTGTCCACTGTACTACAGTTGGCAGTTCATTTACTCGTCACTCACACCTAGACAGATGAAACCGTCTGTCCACTTTGCTCCACCTGCACTGACATGCACTTGACTTAATCACACTGCCAGTTCTTTAAGCTGACTTACTGCTGTTGGCACATGCACAACTAAATGTGTAAATTTTTAAACTTGCACAACCACTGGCACACTGTACATTTACCCACACTACAACAGAATTTGTTTCCCGTTGTTTCAGATTAATATACTGTATCTTTTCAAGGTAGTTCGGGCTTTTTTGTAACCTGGGCTATAAAGAGTTAATGTCACATCATGTGAGTGTCATATGATCAAAGGTTTTGGTCTAATTGATTTGCCCTGGTTTGCCCGAGTTGTCAGTAACATCTGCTTCACATACAGCTTAAGTCAGTGCTGTTGTAGTAAGACTAGTAGGTAGGTCATGCCAGGTGTTGCAGTAGGTTGATATATTTTTGGCCTGTGGAGGAAGAGTTAGTGCCAGGATCAGCAAAGAACGCCTTGTTTGGACCCATGTGCCTAGTTTTGGAAAGCAGAGACAAACGGGTATTTCTACCCGTGTTGTTTACACACACAGTCACTCCCAGCTATCTTTGGGATTATTACTACTACAGGGGAATGCTCCAGTGAAAATACATGGTTCTAAATTAGTGTAACAACCCTTAAAAATATATACAATAAAGTTGTATACAATTTTAATGTCTTCCACTCACTGTGTAGCAGATATACTATGAGAGTGCTGAAGTTATAACTTTTTTTGTATGGATTCCACTGTACTCAGAAAAAATTGGTGTGTTATCCCACTAGTATTATCCAGTAATCGTAAATTAGGATCACAGTCAATGGCAAGAAATCACCTTATTCTGCAAGAAGGTGATGTTTTTGGCTCTCCAGCCTTGGTCAGTGTCACAGTCTCATGGTGCAGCTGCTGCTTTAAACATTACACACAGGTGAAACCTGTTGAGTTAATTAGCCCACACCTGGGTGATCTTGGATGAAACAAGCCGAGTTCTTAAACACAGGGAAAAGTCACAATATATTCAAACAGTGGTTTAAAAAAATCTATATATTTTTTTTCTTTATTTTCCTGTTTTGAATTGTTGGTTGCACAAAAAAAAAATCACCTGTGGCTCAGGGAAATTGTGGCTGCCTTTTTTTTAAAACTATTTTCTTAGTTTTTTCCAGACTAAATGATTAATTAATTCAACAAAAATATTACTCAATCACTAATGTAAATATAATTGATAGTTGCCCCCAATGTCAGTGCTAGTTTTAACATAACAATTTTAAGGTATGAGTGTATACACTTTGACAACTCAGAGGTCAGCTGGTTTAAGTTACAACATACCAGTGAACAATAAGTCCTGAGAGCGATGTGTATTGGCATGTCTGCACTTGTATGCTCATTAATTAGAACATATTTGCACCGGAGTAACTAAGACATTCAGTGCATGAATGTGGATAGGAATATAAATCCCCAGCGGCTCAGGAAGATGGAACGGACACTTTCAGTGCATCACTGAGCTGCACTGTCAGCCTCAGAATCACGCTACTTTTGTACACTCACTTCCGCTCTGCGTGCATTCACAGAGGCATCACCATAGCAACCACAAGTCACACATCCCAGGCTCATTCTTAACAGACTCGGGCATAGTGCACTCCCACGTCGGCTCTCGGATGTCTGTGCGAAGGTGGTTCTGTATAAAGTCTTCACCCCTGACCCACACACAGAGGTGGGCAAAGTCCACTCCTCAGGCTGAAGTGACCATATGACACTGACTCAGGATAGAGCATGGCCCTCAGTAAGAAGTGTAACAACCAAATGGCACTGATATCTTGTACATACCATAACATATTTGCTTATTTAGCTTATTGCATTTAGGAAGTGCACAGTTCTCTGCTTGGCAGGACAGGCGAGAGTTTCCTCTTAACTGTTGGTCAAATAAGCCAGCAGTCACGCTCAAGCCTGGGCTGTGGTTAATCATTCAACTGTTGATCAAGATTCCTCACATATTTTACAGTATATATTAGGTCTCTGATCAGGGGATTTTTTTTTTTGTTAAACTTTCAGTCTAATGGTTACTGCTTGATGGAGTATTTCAATATTTGTTTTGGTGTGTTGCTCATCAAATAGCCACTATTATGCTGCTGTTAAGGGCTAAAGCTATTTTAGGTTCTGTGTTTTTTATACTTTTAATCATTACTGCCTTAGACATAACTTCATTACAAGCCCATAACACAGGTTTTATTAAAACCCTACTAAAAGCTAAGCATAAGTTATGATCCTAGGATTTCCAGTAATAACAATTATGTCATGATGAATTGTGTGTGTTATGGTGCAGGTTTAAAACGTGGCGACCTGGCAGTAAATATTTCATATAAGTTTCCTTGTAGCCTAAAAAAATTGTTTTATTTTGGAGTCTTTTGAGGTTGACATCACATACATACGGTAATGTATGGAAATATTTTTCTTTAGCATGTATTTGACATGCTCAGCCTCATTATATATTACAACTTCTGTGTAATTACTATTTTCTTTTTTTGTTTTTCCTCTATTCAGGTATAGCATCTCTTACATCCCATTTGCCAGGTAAGGCAAGGACTATACAATTTGTTTTGTCTACATTGATGTGAAGGTGATGTGCTTGCATCCTTTATGATATATTCAGTTGATTGTATAGCTTAATGAATTCACTCATTTTGCCTTTTAATGCCTTTTAACTGAGTTATTTCTAAGAGGCCACTTGCTATCAAAGGAGACATAAGGTGCATTTTCATTGACCATATCTCAGTAATCTCCTGTCTACAGATGTCACTACTGCCACACAACAAAGTGGGGAAATAGTTTTGAAAACATGTTTTTATGACCTCCCAGCACTTTTTGCCTCCACCATATGGCTGAAATCCCTCTCCTACAGCTAGTGCAGGCTCTTGGTGTCAAACAAATGGCACCTTGTTGTTTGACACTCCTCTGTGCTATAGTCCTGTAACATTTTTTTGCTTACCAAAACATTTCTAACCCCAGTCTAGCTTCTGCATTATATCTGATGAGCTTATGTTAAGCTCTATAAGGTTCATGCACAATGAAAGATTTTGATTAGATTTAGGTTAGATGCATAAAACAATTCCTTGTTTGTCTGCATTGTACACAATATACAGCCTAATATCCCTGAAATCATATGTCTGTTGGTGTTGTCATTTCTTCCCACAGTGTGGAATTTTAAATGAAAGAAAACACTTGTCAAATTGTGCCATATGGTGTAAAACCACAGTGTTTTCCCCAAGATGAGTGTGATGATGTTTTGTCAGTCCAGCTGTAAGCAGGGCTATGTTTCATTTGTTGAGAGGTCTTAAGCTCTCATGCAGTCCCCCCTACTAAGTGCCTTGGGTATTTGGGCAACCCTATAATCCATCCTGACAGCTGAGAGATGTCCTGTGACTGCTTTGAGCTCCCCCTCCCCCAAGCCAAATGCTAACAGCAATACAAAGCTGAGACCTTTTCCTGTGCCAACCTTCCAAAAACCAAAATCCAAGGGAGGAATGAAAATTTGACTGTTGTGCCATCACATTGCTTATGTTTTTGTCAATACATTAGTTTCCTTTCTCTACTTAAGATTTTTACTTTAGTCAATTTTTCATTTGTTAGTTTTGATCATTTCACTCTTTATTGTTTGTCATGCAGTTCCCACGCACCTGCATATTTCAATTTCAAACCCTCTGTCCTTCTGCGTGATGTGTTAAAAGGCATTAAGCTGCGGTTTTTCCTTCTCTTTGTCTGTGGTCAAACAAACTCTGGTACCTGGCTCTAGCCACAACACCACATGGCCATTGGTCTTGATCCTTTAATGTATTTTACCTTGTTGCCTATTTAAAACCTCTCATACCTGCAAGGTACTGAAACCTGCTACAAGTGCACTTCCCACAGTGCTTTAAGGCTACTGTTGCTCTGATATTTAATCAAATAGCCTCAAGTCAATAAAAGACAAAGGCTGGAAGGGAGGAAGGAAGGAATGGGAGGAACATATTTGTTTATATGCTGGAGGGGATGAACTAGAGCATTTGATGGAGCAAGTCTCCTGTCTGTTCACCAACCTTCCCTCCTCCCTCTCAGACTGCTTATGATGCTCCCTTCTCCTTTTAACCTTGACGGGTTTCACACCTCCTCCACAGAAATCTCACTGTGGCTGCAGGCGAAGTCTGCATAGCAACACACTGTTTGTGAGAGCAAACAGTGTGAAGAAAAATAGAGTAGGCAACCATCTTTGGTTGCCATGGTGACCGCTCATATTGCATCATCCTTCAACACGGAGTACCTGGAGAAAGGGAGCCCCCATCGCTCTGAGCTTGTGGTGCTTCCCTGCTAAACCACACTCAAATGTTCGTGATGAGCCCCACCCAAATCTTCATAACAAAGGGTGGAAGTTAAATTCTGAAAGAATTTAGCCTCTGCTGTTTATTCCTGGGTAATTTTAGAACGGCACTCAAGCAACTTTTCTATTTCTTCAATTTCTTTCTTTATTTCATGGTTTACAGTGCTGGCTGTAATGTAGACACCCTCTCTTTTGCTTTTCACAGGGATGCAGTGATGAAGTGCTTCACAACCTGTCTGAGTTAGGACTCCTTAGTCCACTGTTTCATGTGAAGACTGCTCTTAATATACAAACTCTAAGAACAGTGGCTCTGTAAAATATTCTCTCCTGTTTATATGATATATCTCCAGATTTTTACTGTAGCTGTTTCATACTCTAAAATCTTGCTTTCTAATTTGAGCAGAAGGTCTGTAGCTACTGGATAACCAGATTATAAAACTTAAATGTCTTGCTTTTGATGTGAGAAATTTGTGCCTTTAATGTTTAATAGACTCTATTTGAAAATATTTCTACATCCTGAGAATTGTGATGCATTTATGTGCCAGGAAACACTTTTGACTTTGCTATATTTGAAATAAAAGTATATACATAGATTGGATATGAAGAAGTCTGTTGATATATTGACCAACCACACATATTTGCATCTTAAAGTGTCGGATTCTGTTTTCTTCTGGATTGTAACTGCTCTGACTACATACAAACATTAAACCACATCACACACAACAAACTCTTGTGTATGTAGAGAGACTGTCAGGTGCTGTTCCATGTTAACATATCATCCTCCTGAGGCAGTTGAGGCACCGCTTAGTCTGTTAGTCTTCAGTGTGTATTGGAAAGGCATTAAAATTGAGTCTCTTTCTTTAAATTTGGTTTCTGCCAGATGTAGCAATGGCCCAGTTATTTATGCTTTTTTTGGGGGCATTGTAATTTTGCCGAGACCTAATAACCCAGTATACCGTGTAACGCTTGCTCTATATTGCCTCGGCTTCATAGATTTTGAGGATGGGGTTGTCATGACAACCTCCAGAAAATTCATAACCTTTACCACAACCCCCAGCCCCCCACCCTTTTGTTGTAAATGTTCCCATTACCCTGATGAGAAGGTGTATTTCATCTTATAAAAACACCTTTGACCAACAGTCATGAATATATCACCTGGTTTTGGTTTACACTGAAAAGTATATTTTAAAACAATTTTATGCATTTTTTTTAAGGAAGAAAGAAAGAAAGCTCTAATGTAGCCTGTCACCCTGTTTATCAGCCACAGGATGTGTTCAGCAACTCTACTTTGTACATGATGTGACTAAATAGCAGCATTTCACTTCCTGTTGTGCAGCCCCCACATGGTTTCATTAGATGCTTAATGGGGTGGATTGGCATGGACAGAATTTCTCTCCAGTACTACTATCAGTTGTCTGAGGGATGAAGTAATTCTGTTGCGTGTAGTAATTCATTTTGTCATTGGTTTTCATTACTTGTCTTTTTTGGATTAAGCTGATGCTAGATGTTGGAGGGGAAGTAGCATATGATTTCTGCTGCAATCGGTTAAGACTGTTCTAGCTGTCCTTTTCATTATATCTAATTTCTTGCGATGTCAGAGGGAAGGGGGCTCCTACACCACAACAACTGAAACAAAACAAGCTCTTGGTCCTCTTAAGCTTTACAATCCCGCTCTTTTTGTAAAGATAAATAACTTGACCTGTGTTGTCATGCCAGGGGAAAAAATCTAGTAAAAACAGTTTCCTAGGCTTTGCAGTCTGTTTTTATTCTTAATTTTTTTATTTAAAAAGTGATTAGAATGTAAGTTATATCTAATGAGCAACAAAATGTCAGTAGCATAACAATGGGAAAAATGTCTGACAAATTGTAGAGCACGAGCATCCTGGGAAACAGTCTAAAGCCAACGATTTGGTAGGAAGTATTGATTTCTTCTTATACACTGAGGGAACCAAAATCATAATGAATCAATTGGTCTGGAACCGACTGGGTGAAAGTGCAGCAGAAAGAAACAAAAATCAATATTGTATTATGGATTATTTGTGTATTGTTCCCCCAGATGTCTTTTATAGGCTGACAGAACAACAATGGACCAACTAACTGACCTATATTGATGGAAAGGATCAAATCAAGTATCATATCTTTGTGCCAGTGACCAGCTCTGGTAGTGCAAGGACAGACATGGTAAAGTACTGTGGAGCAAGACATGATTTTATGGCTACATGTATGATAAAAATGCACAGAGGCTAAAAATAGGACTGCTTTGACTTGGGCTAAAATTTAAATCTTAAAATTAGGCAAAAAAATTAGTCGCATGTCAAAAAATTTATAAATATAAAATTCACACCTGTGGCCACTGTCAAGTCAAACCTATTTCCATCCAGGCTAATTATCTATTAATTTTTGAATATATGCATCATCAATGGAAAACAGCAAAACGGAGCTGTGAGAGGATGGGAACAGGAGGTGGACGTGGCTCATCGCTTGAGGAAGTTAATAGGAATTATGAAATGACATCACCACAGTTATGTCGTGGCTTTGTTTGGTGCTTCTCCTGACCACGCCTTCCTGCCGGCACGATCATAAAGCAGCCAGGCTATGTGTGTGTACCAGTTGAACTCCAGTCAGTGCGGACAACAGGTGCACTGCAGCTTCCCTCCACCTTGCTGTTGGATAATGCCCGCAGAGCGCTACTCGTCTCTTTCCACAGGGCTTCCTCATTTGCACTTTGAACACTTTAACGTTTTTATATCTTGAACACTTCCAGGCACAAAAATGCCTTTTCCACCTATCAGCCTGCACCAGCGGATCTCATCTCCTGGCAGGGAACTGTTCGGGAGAAAGAAAGCCACCGGAGTGCCTCCTCAGACTGAGATCACCAGCAAATCCGGCGGAGAGAAAGGGGGTTCCGAGAAGCAGTCCACTTCCTGGACGTCGGCGAATATTAGGAATTTGGGGCGGAAAGCCCAGCCAGAGAAGAGTAAAAGCCCTGTTCAGAAGCCAGGTGCCGACCAAGAGACTCAGGGAAAGTCATCCTGGCTGACGGTTCCTAAACCTCAGGACTCTTCCGAAGGAGTCAGACGCTCCACTTCCATGGACTCAGCTAGACAGCTCCATGGCAAAGAGGAAGGAAAGAAGGAGATTCAGTTTACTCTCAGTCTCACCCCTGAAGCCATTCTTGTCATCCAAAAACGTAATCTAGAAAAACAGATGATGGCAAAGCAGCAGAAATGTTGCGCCTCCGCGGACTTTCGGCACAGGCGAGTTTTTCCATCCAAAAAGGCGCACGGAGGATCCAAGGGCTGCGCTGCTGTTGCCAAAGTGGAAAGCGCCGAGCAGGACATCACCGCCATTGTTAAAATATCACTGTTAAATGATCAGTACAAGTACGATGATGTGGAGTACGAAGAAGAGGATGGAGATGTGGATGAGACTGTTGTTAGGAAATGTAAAGAGTGGCTGAAAGGGGTCGAAAATGCCGCTGCTTTGGGAAAAGTTGACAAACTTTCTGCACTCCCGCACCTTAAAGGCTGCTGACACTTGACAATTGGTCTTTCATTTTTAAACTTGAAAATGAAGAGATGAAGGACTTGTGAAATGCTTTCACAGATGTAGGCCTGCGGCAATGGCATCTTCGATTTGAGTCTTGTAAATCAAATGTTTGTAACGGGGGTCCATTATCCATTTGGCCAGCAAAGGAATGTCAATTTGTTTAGGTTTTTTTTTTTCCTAAAAATGGCAGTTATTCAAGAAAATGAAAATAGATGAGTAAATTTCATTGGAATGAGGGGAATATTAATTTGTCGCAACAAAAATCCGATTTTAAAGCTTAACTGCAGCCTGGCTCAACCAACAGGGTTTCTTATGGTTCACAGGGATGTTGCTTTGCAAGAACAATGCCTATTAATTGTTTTGTTGAAGTCTGACTTTAATACCTTAATATTCTCATCCTTTGCACATGTTTTTCCCTCAGTGGGGCGCCTATGGATTGACAGAGGCTTTGCGTAAAGGAACGCAAAACGGTTCCTTTGTGTTGGAGAACAATAAGGTGTCAGCAATAGGGCTGTGTATGCGCCTGCTGCAGAGACAAACTATACTATATACTATTTATTTTTCTTCTAATAAGAGGGTTGTATCCTTTATAGGGATCTATCAGCGATGTGCAGTATTTAATATTAGCTAAATATTTATACTGTCAAATGTTTTCTCAGCTGACATGCCATTTGAGGTAATTTTTTACTGACCCTTTTAAATCTTTTAAAAGCTTATTTGTGTTGTACCTCTTAAACAATTATGTTATTCTGTTACATGATGCTCATTTAAATGTCTTCAACATGTCTGGCCAGTTCACAGACAGTATTTTATTAAAAGCTTGTTGTAGCTACCTGAGGGCATTTGGCCATTAGTGCTCTAAGCTTCTTAGATTTTCTGTTAAGCAGGGTTGACCAGTGTAAAGTCGGCCCCAGGTACACTATCCCACTAGGCAATTACTGTCCAGTCTGGTCAAACAAAACAATGAATGTGGTGACAGGAGATATATATAGCGCTGGAGTCGAAATCTGGCTATTTTCAAAGAAAAGTGACTTGCAAGTGATTTGCGACAGATATTTCTACTTTGAACTATGTTATTAATGAAACTTTCTTGCTCATGTGATACTTACCGAACTACAAAAGATCATATTTTTATTCTGTAAGTGGCATTGAACTTCTTGTTCTGCTCAGGGAGACAGAGCTGGCCAGGGACCAACTGAGGGCTTAGAAACAAACCACTATGTGACTGTTTTCAGAAAAAAAAACATTAAAATGATGCTATGAAGTCACTTTTTGCTTCCTTTTTGCTTCCTTGTTGCTTCCCTACGGCTACCTACACTTCATTATACTGATCACTAAACCAGTCAAGGGAAGCTTTGATGGAAAGAACAGTCACCTAAAAGCCTTGAATCTTCATGCTGGGTCCCAAGTGTAAATAAAAGAGCGGACATTTCCTGCACTGATCTTGATCTCTTTTGTGTTCTCTGTAACTTGGTAACCAGAGTTTGTGGTACACTTTAAAGTTCAATTACAACTTGGACTGAGGAGTGTAACGTTTAAAGCAGGCTACAGAGCATTCACAAAGCTCAGCTGTGAAATACTGGTAAGATCATTTTGAAATATTGCTTTCACTTATATCCTTAGGTAACATCGCCATTTGATGTCATTTTGGAATTTGATGTCAAGTTATTGTTAACAATGTAGATTCTTATTTTTTTGTTCCGTGATCCACGCCTGTTTTTCTAAAGGTTACCTTAGAGTGGATTTACCATGAGATTTGAGTGCAAACAGTGAAGTGAGCTGCCCTCCACTTTGGACACACACACACACCTGTTGGAGTCAGAATGGTATTTAACCCTCTAATCTCCCATTTTCTTGCACTTCTATCCTGTTAAATGGCATTTTATTTAGAAACAAAGTATTTATTCATGTGTCAAATGTGCCCTACTACAACTTTGTAAATGTGTTCTTGTGGTACAATACATTTTCCCACTAGTCTTATGTGGCTAAACAGACAACCAGCTAAAATAAGGCGTCTGATTCTGAATAGATGTGCCTGTTCAGTGTCACCAAGTGGTTTTACTGTCACACATGGCAGACTGAGATTATAGCTGAGCCAGATTTGTACCAAGACTTGTTCGGTTCTCCATGGCTCCTGTGATGATATCTACTGGCTCAGTGACTGAACGCTATGTAACCCTCGTCTATTGTGTCATTTCAATTGTGGCCTTGTTTACAGTGTGTTCCTCCCTCTGTTGTTCATTGTTATTTGATTTAGGTCTGAGGCTGAGCTATTCATTACTGTCCTGGGGGTGAGAAATGCATTATTATGTCTGAAATACTTTGAATACTTGTATTCAGTAGGAAAAGTAGAATATAAAAGGGCAGGAGATGGCAGCAGTTGAGACCGTTCCTCCAAACTGCCTTTCAAGGCTGTTAAATCTAACCCATGCTGCAAGTGTATCTATTTCATCCTCTGCCACAAATGGTTTCTCTTTACATCTGTAGCAAAAAGTATAAAAAAAAAAAAAAGGTATCGCCTGCAGGCTTCTGTCCACCTCATTGCACAGTCTAGCATAGTGACTTGGCACAGCAGAACAGCTGCATCATGCTTCATAGTGGCAGGGGGGGGGGGACACTCTGCACACAGCAGAAAGTGCAGCTCTCTGTGCTCTGTAGCAACAGTATTACTGTGGCAACGAACTGATAAATCCTGCGTCTCCAGCAGCTTTTGTGTGAAAAGACAAACCAGACATTTCCTGAACGGACTCTGCCCATAAACATTAGTAAATTGGTGATTCAGTGGCAGCCTGTCCGGAGCAGGGAATTTCTCAGGACAGAGTAATCTCAAAGAGAAGACTCAGATCAGAAAGTGCAGCCCTCCCATAGAGTCTCAAACATGATTTATTGTGCAACATGATTTTTTTTCTCTTCTTGGCTGGGCATTGCAAGAACACAGTGTCAGGCTATTGTGTGGGAGGATGCTCTTGGTAGGCGAGAGGGATTTCCAAAACTACATTTTTATTTTTAATCTTCAGGCAAGCTGACTGATCCACTCCCACAGCATCTAAATAGAGGTTTTTACTGTTGATAGGCAGGGAATGGAGTCAAAGTCAAACCCTGGAGGAAGAACGTGATGCAAAACAGTGGTCTAGACCCAGATCAAGAGGCTAAGGTCCAGAGTCAGGCTCAGCTGGAGCAGGTTGGTAAATACTCTACCATGAAACACTTGCAATGACAGAGTAGTATCTTATAGTAATATATCATTTCAACTAGGTCTTATCATCAATTCTGGAACACCTCTCTCTGCAGCCACACTTGTGGTGCTTCCCTTTTTTCATTTCTCATCAACTGGTTTCCTTCACTTTCTTTCTTTGTTCTGCAGCGCCATCTAGAGGCCTACAGAAACATGCATCGTCTCAGGGATGCTCTCTATCACCGCTATGCTGCCCTGCTCAAAGAAAAGGTCCATTCACAGAGATTACTGCAACACCAAAGAAACAATACAGCCAGAGCAAAGTCAGAGAATGAAACCAAGCCGGTAAATCAATAAATGTTAATGGTTAATGTGCAAAATGGAGACTTTTTAAATGTTTTTCATTATTTTCAGAGAACAAACTCTCATTTATATTCACATTTAATTGTTTAAATTAAAAGACAAGGGATTTTTCTTTGTAGAAATACACATTTTCCTATTTCTACTACTTGCCTGCAGACCATTATCAAACCTGGCCCCTGGTTCTGCGCCGAAATAACTGTCCGAATAATAATAAATAATTTCATTAAACAGCTTTATTTACTGTAGGCATTTGTCCTATGAAAGCACAGTTTAAATTAAAATAGTGAAGGTTTTCAGTTCAGACACAGGTCTCAAGACGCAAGCAAAACCAGGCAACAATCCAGGACAAGACAGTTAATACTGTACTTTAGTGGTGCAAAGTTGTAACATTCCTACCAAGTTTGCATCACTCAAATTATCAAAAACCATCTGACATGAAATGAATGGGGGATTTTGGGACCCATAGGTAGTGGCTTGGTTGGTGTATGTTTTCAGCATGTTTTGTTTAACTATTACTTTAAAATGATTTAAGAAACTTGTATGGTTACCAGGCACCTAGGCCTCTTACAAGATATTGTCCTCAGCAGCAGCTCATGTTTAAGCCCCCC